AAACACACAACAATCTCGATCACTTATGCACTTAAGGTAGCCTCCCCGCAGACGTCCTTTGCGGGGGAGAAATGAATGCTTGACGAACGAACCCCAAAGGACGTCTACGGGGAGGCTACACTTAAGGTGGCCCGAACCAATTTATTTGCGCGTTGGTTATGTTTTTGAATCGCGTTTTTTGGCAGGAATGATTTAACCTATTTCTATGATTTTTGGCATCCTTAATAAAGAATGATCAACTAATGCATCAGTCCGCCAGCTGCGCCCATGCCCCCCTCCGGCCTAATGAGGGGCATTTGTCGGCCTTGTCATTCCCGGGGGTGGGGCATTTGCCAATTTTGCACTGCCCGGGGGCCGGGCATTTGCCAACCCCAGGGCTATTCCCAAGCTGTTGACACGCACGCGGTTTCCTATCAAAATATAACAACACAGAAGATTTTACTGGAAAAACAAGCATATTTGCTCATCTGTCAAGGACAGGAAAAAAGGCATGTTCTCGATTTTATGCATGCATTTCTTCATTGCTTATCAAGCCAGAATTACATGGCGAAATCGGGAGCTATCGACGTGAATCAACGTTTTTTAGTTAAAGCTTAAATTGAATCAAATTTCAGTTGATATTATTTGAAGAAAATCCTTTCATATTAATAAAACTACTCGACATAACATATAACTTTATAGCTCTCTATTGATTTTAATGTCAATAATTTTATAATAATACTAAAACCATAAACTGGTGTATGTCGTCGCGGCGTGAAGTCTTAATTAGAATCCTAACGTTATTACAAAGGAAGACCTTAATTTAAACAAAAAATCGCACATTAGAATGCGTAAAACAGCACTATTCGACTGTGCGATCAACGAAAAATGTTGCAGTGTTGACGGAGGACGGGGCATTTGTCCTATTTTTTAATTTCCTCTCCACCCCGGGGGATTTGACAGCTCAGTAGTCCCCACCCCCGGGAATTTGCCATCCAGGGCAAAAAAAGGCTTATGCCCGGGTGTCAGCCCGGGGGGGGGGGGGGGGG